CCCCAAAACCCCAAAACCCCTGTGACATTTATCATAAAGATGCATAAGTTTTATGAAATAAAATTTAGAGTAAAATATCTCAATAGTAATAATAACTTCATTTAATTAGATATTCTATTACCAATTATCAAAGCATTGCAGTTTCAAAGTTGATTTTCCTTGTTATTCTTTGACTCATTTGACTTAATTTATTTTTTAGCCTTTAAATAATGCTCCACTTCCTGAATACCCCTGTACTAATCATTATCCTTTAAGTCATAGGAGTATATGACACTTCTTAATCGACTGTCAAATTTAATCTAGAACTGCTTTTGCCTAAGCTTTTCAATTCCATCTTATAGACTCTTTGGCTTTATATCATACTTCTAAAAGTATTATTGGAATTTTTCAATAATTTTAAGTTGTTTTTCTTCTAACTTATCCAGGAATTAGTTAACATCAAGAGTTGTCTGCTGCCTTATTTCTCCATACTTTAGCAATTCCTTATACTCGATCATATCAAACTTGGTCTTCTTAAATTCTGAGAATAGCTGCTGGAAGTTAAGCTCCTTGATAAGATCATCTGTAAGAATCTCAGCATCAAAGAACTTTTACTTAATCTTAGCACCAATCTTTCGGCAGCATGTGATGAAGTTGAATAGGGTTACTCTGAAGATAAAAACAACAACACTCAAGGCGAAAGCACCAATGAATATCAACATATGAAGGTTTGTAAACCTACTACGATTAAAGTATCTGTTTTCAGTATCAATCTAGTCAAATATTTCAGTGCTTATTGAGACTGTTGTAAGAATAGAAGAGTTTGAATACATATACAAGCCAATAATGAAATGCAAGATCAGACTGAATTTCATCAATGCCCTAGTTGCATTAGATAAGTCTAAGTTGAGCTAAGGGGGCTTCTGATAAAACTTTAGCACTAGTAACATTATTACAAAATATAACTTACAGAATAGCTTATCAAACCAATATTGAAAGAAGAAAGAGAATAAAGCTATAATGTAGAGAATGGGGATACCACTAGAGTACATCATGATTGTAAACAAAGTAGAGAGGATCTAGGAATATCTGTATTCTATTAAAAACATTGTTCCAGTATTCATATCCTCATAATCACTTTATAATAACTGTTTTGTCTTTCTCCTATCACAAGTGCAACCACGATCTCTGCATCTTTTAATCATACCAATAACTTAAAACATCCCATTGGCCATGTGAGGTGTAAATATATTAATCAAGAGCGTGAAACTCTATGGAGATTATTAATGAATAAATTTAATCTTACAATAGTAGCACCAATAACTCTATACCACTCAACTGTAAATTCATCGTATTCACCAGCAAATATTGGGAAATTATTTATTGAAATACCAAAATCTAGATTCACAAGCAATATCACACAACCCTAGGTAATTTAAAGATTTAATAAATCTTACAGTATTGATAAATGAGACTACGAACATCTTGTACATGCTAGAAACAATCAATTGATTCTTGGAATGAGCTTACTCAAATTGCGAAATCACTGAAATATAATCATATGAACTTAATCTTACATCTCATAAAAGACTTGACAATCATGTTCACAATACTGATACCAAAAGCAACAAGATAAACCAAACTATTTGATAACGTATATAATTTCAGCCACTCTCCGCAGTACTTCTTACTATCTGGGAACACAATATTCACAATATCAAAACTGATCTTGTAAAATTGACTGAGGCAATAGCAATGCATTAGACCTAATCTTTTATCTGACTCTCTACGTTGATCTTTGAAAGCCTCGTCCTTCGTTATATCAATATCTGGGCAATCAATCTAAGGTGAATATTCCTTAACCTCCTTTTAATAGGATCTAGCAACTACTATGAGAATAAAGGTGCCAGCTATTAAAATAATTGTGATTAATGCGACGAACAAAGTTCGAATAAATCTTCCACATTTTCCTACTTTCAAGTTTTCCCATATAATGAGATCTGGAGGAGGTGCTTACTTGACTTTTAACCATTTTCCTAGGAATCTAGAAGATGATAATGTTAATATTATTGTTTAATTTACTCTTTCTTGCGATAGTAATTAGATCCACAGCAGTTAGCACATCTTCTTCTGCAACTACCGACTTTGTAAGCCTTAATTGCTCTCTCCTTGCCTTCAAGAGTTCTAAAAGTTACATAAGCCTTTATCACTTGATTGGAAAACTTGATGTCGTACTTTTGATAGGAAGCAATTAGTTTTTCTATTCTTTTCTCTAGCTTCTCCTGAACTTTCACGTACTTCTTTTCATTTTTAGAATCTTTAGCCATCCTTGCTTCATTTCTAAAGAGTTATTTAAGCAAGTCATAAATTCTGATCAAAATTTTTAGCTTTCCAAAATCAGTCATGCCAAAATGTATATTAAGAATTTTATGATCATTTTGAGATTGCTTGTTGAGGAGCAAAACCTAGGGTTCATTTTTAATCACTCGCTCTAAGTGATTCCAAAGTAGAACCTTAAGTTCTTTGATTGAGAAATAATCATCTCTTGAGGGTAAGTGTTTAATGACAATAGCGAATTCTTCAGATGTCAATAGACTTCTATTGATTAATTTATCCTCCCTTTTTTCATAAGCTTCTAGAGCATAGAGCGAGAAAATGAGAGAAAAAATAATAACTACATCTAGTATTACTACAATCAAGCCAAGATTCTCTCTGCTGATAGCTTAATTTATATATGGTAGTTCAATGTAAATCTCTTAGCAAATCGCTTAAACATATATAAGCCTGTTTTAGTTGCTAGAACTATTAGTTTCATTATTTGCTGGGAAGAATATATAAGGATCCTCATTCATAATGTCAGGTAAAACTATCTTTTTCTAGCAAGTTGAGTTGAAATCATTAATACTTATAGTAAAGTTGCAACTCTTTTCTCCATGGCAATCAGATTGAAATCTATCATTTACCTTCCTTTGGTACTAATAATTCATAGTATCAGAATTGCATTATCCATCAACATTCAAGACATCAAATGTGTCTTTTGGGCATTTTGTTTTATTTTTACCCAACCCATATATCTTGAGATCGTCAAGTGAACCATAAGAGCAGAATAGTCTTACATTAACTTCTGTTGTATACAGCATTTCTGCATAATTGCATGTCTATTAGGCTATAGAAATTAAATGAATATATTACTTACACTAGCCGATATTCCCCAAAGAAAAAGCAGATAAAAAGAATTTAATAGAATTGGACTTCTCTTCAGTCTCATTACCAGTATAATAAAGGAAATATGATGGTATACTTAGGAAAGCGAACCAAAGCATCAGAACCATAAAGAATTTAAGCATTTTAAAGTAGACTGAAATTCCAACTCCTAGTTCTCTGATATCAGAGTCTCGCCATGATTTGCAAGCGCAATGCCAGCCAGTTTTTGTCTTGCACAATGGATATGTCCTCTTAACTCCATCTATCACAACTCTAGGATGCAATCTATTGATCACTTGCTTCATCTTCGTATATGATAATCCATTGCTAGCATCCTTCTAATAATACTCTGAATCTCTTTCGTTTTACCTTTATTTTTACTTTTACTTCGATTAATCTGACACTATTGATGCTATTCTCGGTTAAACTTCATTCTAATCAGGATTAATAGCTGCACTTAGCCTATCTTGTAGTAGTCTCAAAATCTACTCCTGATTTTCCTTCTCTTTCATTATCTCATTTGGATCAATATCTTCATTCATTTACAATTCTTGAGGAATTTCTTAGTACAAATCTAATTAAGGGTCATGATATTCATATTCCAACTCGAGTTAGATCACATCGAGGTCAATATCTGCTCCGCCGTCTACTACACCACCTTAAGGCTAATTAAATCCAGCTTCTCTCCTTTCAAAAGATGACAGATGAGATTTATTGTGGCCAGTGTGATTTTGATCCTCGCTTTATTTAGGAATTGAGAAGTCGTAATTTAATTTCATTTATGATCAGTTTTGAGGTTGATGTTGCTATTTATAATACTACTTACTCGTATTTAAATCGACATTGGACTAATTGTTGCTTCTGCTCTTGTTATTATTTGAAAAAGCCTAGCTAATCTTTGACTCTTCAAGCCCAAGAGATTTATCTTAGACTTCAATGCTTCTTTCTGATTGAATGACCATATCTTCATCCTCATCAGCCTCACTAGCAATCTATCTTTTCAATTAGTAAGGCTCAATAAACTTATTATGGCTTGTGTCTACTCTTTCATGGCTATTTATAGGCGCATTTACCACATGTCTCAGCCTCTAATCCACCTAGCTTTCTGACTTTATCTCCTCCAAGTCAATTGATGACTTTTGATCTATAGACTTTTCAATCTTCTGTTTATTTGAGGGTAACTATTTCTGAATAATTCTGATACGACCGCTCTCCTGCCTGTTCTTATCCTATTGGTAACCCTATTTTTGATCCCGTTCATTTTTGTTATAGTAAACATCATCATCCTGCAACTCCGGACTCTGACTATTATCATCGACTGGATTCCGAAACATTACATTCCCAGCTATATTTCTTCTTGAGGGTTGCTAACCTTCACTAATTTCTGAGATATTATCTAAACTTTATTCTGAAGATCTCTCAGATGAGAAATTAGGCGATTACATTTTAACTTGCCTTCTCTTAATTGTACTAAAATTAATTTTTCTAATTTCTATTCAAATTCTTTTAGATATATTCCGATTTTCATATATCCCAACATAACTCTCAATTTAAATGAAGGGGTTTTGGGGTTTTGGGGTTTTGGGG